TGTCCGACTCGCAGTCGGCCGACCAGCAGTTGTCCGACTGGGAGTCGGATACACCTTGCGCGTCTTGACTCCACTTGGCCTGCTTGCTGGTGGCGTTTTCCCAGAAGTGCCTTCCGCCGAAGACGACCCTCTAAGGGTTGTTGGCTCGTCAGCCAAATTCTCTTCTGCTTCCGGCCTGCTGTCCGGTTCAACGCGCCGTTCAGTTGGCCTTCCTTCCGCTTGTCGGCCTTCAGTCGCCCGGCTCGTAGTCGGCCGACTGTCAGTCCGTCCATCTCCTCCCGAAGGCATTGGTGCCTTCTGTGCAGAGGTATTTGTCGTCTTCCCTAGAATCTGCGCGATTATCTCCTCCTGTGTGAGATTCCGCCGGATCGGAGTACGCCCGGTCTCCTCAGTACCAGTTGGCATTTTGCGTGCCCTCTGTTTTGGTCGACTGTGAGGCTCGGGGGTGGGCCGACCACGAGTCGGCGCAGCTGGCACTTCCGGCTGCCTGTCCTCAGGTCTCTCATCCCACTTCCGCTTTCGCGGAATGCGCTCACTTCGACGTTCTTCTGCTGCTCTTGCTGGAGCCGGAGCCGGAGGCGGACTGGCAGGTTCCTCGTCCGGATCCGTGTCTACTTCGGCCTCCCTCGAGTATCTACCTGGATAGCTCCGGGTCAGCAGCGGAAACCGTGTTTTCTCAAAATTTGTCAAACATCCCATCGCCCGATAAAACACGATCAAGTAAGGCGATAGATGATTGAGGGTTCCTCCTCTCTCTTCTTGCGCATGTTGGCGCGTCACCTTCCACAGGAGCCGTGCCCAATGCACTGGAGCTCCTGACAACACTAGCTCCACAAATTCTACCTGCCAACCATGCATGTAAGCGGTCTTGGTCGGCTGCAATATCTGCAGCAATGCAGTCGCGACATTTCTCCGCAATCGATCTTTGTAATCCCGTGTCCGGAAACCGTTCTTGGGATGCCTGGCAACTTTGAAGAGCTCATTGTAGGAGATTTCTTCCTCCTGTGACAGCTTCACGCTATCGGCCTCGAAGAGGAGATCCCCTTCCTCGCCGGCACACCTGCTCAACACCTGCGCCCAGTTACAAATGTCCCATCTTTCTGGATGTGGACGGAATCCGCGAGAGGGCTTGTGTCTCTCCTGCAGATACTCGCGCACCATCTCCGGACATGTCCAGTTCCACCCCCACAGGAGAAAATCGAGCTTCAGCCCCAGGAGCACATCTTGAAATGCGCGTAGACCGATCTGCGGCACCCTGAGTGGAGACACTCGCAGCTGGGGAACCTTCGACATTGCGTTTCCTGCACACACAAACGTTCTCCCTTTCGCCCGCTCTCTCACAATCGCCACTGCGCGTCGGCCGCTCAAGCACTGACTTCTCACTCTCTCTTCGCTCACGCTCAAGTTCGCTACTCGCAATTCTCTCCAAGGTCTGTCAAGATCCTTGCGCAACTCGTCTCCGCACTCTCTTCTCTCACTGCAGGTCGCTCCGCTCTTGCGCGTAATCTTGGAAACTGGAAATCGCAAAATCAAGAATGAGAGAATGAGACTGGAGCGCAGTCTTTTCTTCTCCGAATTCAAGAACGTCCAACGTTCTTACTGGTTACAACGTACGCAGCCGGCTATACGGCCTAACGGTTCGCCCTTTGCATGCGCGAATTCACGTCTCCACACTGCGCGCATTCGCATGCGTGAATGTTGAATTCTCCCGCCGCCGCCGCCTTCCGGACTCGAGTCCGCCGCAGGGTATACGTCGGCTATGTTGTCTTTCCCTAACCCGTCCGTCACCGGAGGCGTGTCGCCGCTGGTGCGTTCCTTATGCGTCGGCGCCTTGCTGGAGGCGCACATCTAGTCGGAGCGAATTACGCCGGCGCGCAGTCGTACCGCTTATTTTGTCCTTTATGCCTCGTCCATTGCTGACGGCGCATATCCGCCAGCGCAAATCATGCCAGCGCATCCGGCCGTCAGCGCCACGTCGGAGGCGTACATCTGACCGGCGCTTTCCTTCCATGAGCAGCCGCCAAAGGCGCTTCCGACTCTGAGTTGGTTTCCTCCTATGAGCGCGTGATTCCGCCGAAGGCGCATCGCCGAGGGCGTACGGGAATCCTTTCCGGCTGTGAACCCTAGCGCGAACGGCGCATGTCCGGCTACGAGTTTTCCGACGCTCATAACTTCTCCGTCCCTGATCCATCTCCGACGCTCTTGGGCTCGTTAGAACGAGCGTCCCGAGCTCTTTCTAATGCGAACTCAACCAACTGGATCTACCGTGTATTCCGATCGTTATGAAGGTTTTCCCTTTCCGCGCTAGCGGCGCATCGCCGAAGGCGCACTCATGGTCGGACGCCTTCAGAGGTCCGGGCCCTTCTCCTGACGTCTTTAGCAAAACCTCCTCCTGAGGTGTCTGCGCCGGAAGCGTAGCTTCCTTATACGCTGGAAGCGCGTGAGTAGAGACACCTCAGAAAAGGAGCTTTTGCCGAAGGCGCCGAAGATATTGGCGTTGGTACATCCGACTACGTGATTCTTCGTGACCTCATGACGATCTCATCAATCCACTCTATTTAACGTACCCTTTTCTAACTACAAACACTGCTTCGGTACTAGTTTTCTAAAATTGTTTAAATTCTGCAAAAAAAACAAAAAGTGTGTTACCACAGTTCCACTGTCACGTCTGCTGGAACTTCAACTAGTACCGCCGAAGGTCCTTCGATCACCACAGGCTGTGTCGACTCGCCAGCTGCTACTTCGAATGTGTCTACGATTGGGGCAACTGTCTTTTCCACACTGCTGTCCGAAACTTTGGTTACTACAAACCCTCGACTCGCCTTACTCTTCGGTCTCGCGCGAGTTCTCGACTGCTTGATTCCTTCTATCTCCATTTTCGCTCTCCTTACCTCTAGCGTCAAATCCTCCTCGTCATCAGTCACCACCTTCCGCCTCTTCGCCAATCGCCGTTTTGACTTCTCTCGATTTGGCAGAACTTCCACCTGAACGCGTCCTCGTGCTGTCGTCTGCGATGGAATTCGAGGTCTGTTATTCCCTTCTTCGGTCCCTTCACTGGACTCAGCTGGTAAGATTTCCCGCTCCCTCGAAAATCTCTTCTCCTCCTCTCTTGTAAGCAATCCCATGCCTCGATAGAAATTCACAAGGAAGAGAGTCAAATGATTAACCAACGGCCCTGTCCACCGAGAACTCACATTCACCCATACAAGATCATAAAAGATTCTTGTCCACTGCACCCGCTGTCCCTTCAAGACTTGTTCAAAGAACCCCACTTGCCAGGTCGTGACATAAGTCGTGCGCTGCGGTCGCAAGATGTGCATAATGCCCAACGCTATTGCCCGTCTCTTCGGATCCGTGTAGTCGGCGGTCTTCCATCCATTCGTCCCCGACCTCCCAAAATTGAACAGTGGCCCGTAAGAGAATTCTTCTATGCGCGTGAGGTTCACGCTATTCTTCTAAAACAAGAGGTTCCCGTCGCTGCTTGCCCACGGCTCCATCACTTTCGCCCAATGCTCAATCGTCCACAGCATTGGATTGCCTCGGACATCCTCGCCTTGGTCTTGTTCTTATCCATAATTTCTTTGCAGATGCTCGTCGAGATGCAATTCCAATTCCATAAGAGTAAATCGAGACGCAATTCGTTGAGCTCGCGCCTGAAGGGTCGCAATTTCTCGTAGAAAACCTTCAAGGGAACCAAATTCCGCACTTTGTCACCCTTCTTGGGCGGCGCCATGTCTCCAATTCGCGTCGTCGTGGAATCGATGTCGATTGATCTCTCCGTTCCCTTTGCGCTCACTCTCGTTCGGTATCACAATGTCGACGCACTCGCTTCTGCCTTTGCTTTTTATTCGATGCCCTAACATTGCCTCCTCCCACGCCCAGTAGAATTCTCGACGCGTGCGAACGTCGTCCGGCCCGTTGCGCAATTCGAATTTATTTTGATGTCTTCGCCGAAGACTCAGATCTTGCACTGTTCAAAAAAGGCTGCGCCGAAGATCCAAAGATCTTCGGCCGTAGGTGAATTTTAACTAATTCTATCATAACTCCTCTAAATCTACTCCTTCTAACTCATATGGCTACCTTCTACAAAAATATGTTTAAGTTTTGTTGATTTTTGAAGAAAAACGAAAAAACTAGGCACCACGTTAGACTTCAACTAAATAGTGTCAACTTCTAAAATCCACAAGACCTGAATTGTATTCCTCCTCAAAACCTTAGCTAAAGATGAGTAACATCATATGTCTTCAATCCTAGGACTAGAGAGAAACTTGGTTCATGACCAGAATATTATTGCATTAGAGTTTTAGAAAAATTCGGGGTGTATGTAATACTCCATTACATCCATTAGGTGATCATGTGTTACTTTATTTTTGTCCACAATCTACTCAAACACACATATATTGGGATTCTTTTTCTAATCACTTATAGCACACGAACGCCAATGCTGTCTAATGTTTGCTTGGTTGGGATAATAACATTCTTCCGCTTTCATCCGCGCACTTTGTAAACTCTAAGCAGTGATTAAAAATTAGAAATTACCTCCGTAAAGTTTAATTGTAACCAAAAAAGTCACTATCGAAAAAGCTTAATTGTGACTAAGCACAACAACGAATAAATATACAAAGAGCAGTATTGGGTACAAAAAGTAATATTAAAAAATGTACAGTTTAATGTACTGTTTCACTAGGTGAACACAAATACAAAGGAGTAATAGCAACCTATGGCTATTTTACTAAAGTAGTTCGTTGATATATGTACAATGCATACTTTTCATAAACTGCAACTTAGTTTGTAATATCGAAATGCATTTTTTCATAGTGAAATGCTTTGACTCCAAGGATGCTAATGATGATGTACTCCAGTGTGAATATGTGATGCAATTCGTTGATGCGCACATGCTACTTGTTGCCTTGCTTTGCTCCGAGAGGGAAAGCAGACAATAGAAGCCGTTGATCAAATCTGAGTGGGAAAGGAGGGCCCGCCCTCCTTTCCCACCCAGATTCGGTCTGTCCAAGATATTATATAGAGATGCGGAGACAAGAAATGAGGCAAGAGATCAAACCCCCTTCACTGTGTTTGAAATCTGCTTCCAGGTCTGCATCGCTTGCTGGAGGATTTCTTCCATCTGCTACAAGAGTTTTCTTCTTTGGGATTGTAAGTTTTTGTTCTGATGGCGAAGTGTCCTCTCAGCTGGTCATTGTATTCTGAATGGTGTTGCTATCTGATTCACGAGTAACACACTTTTACATGCCTAGCGTGGAGGAGAGGTGTCTTCGTCGGTTTGCACAGAAGATCAAAATCTCTGTGACCCACTGACTGCTTGCGAGAAGGGGCGAAACTTGATCGCTGCCGTGTATACGGGCGCTTGTTGTCCACCCTTCTGTCTTGTTGTAGCATGTGCTGCCCTGTCAATGTGGACCATGTCTTATATGGGACGTAAGTTGCCAGAATTGACGTAAATTTTACCGTTCGAGGTTCTAACGACTATACAACAATGTCAGCGTGTGGTATGCTCGTCTAGGACATGGACTTCGTGAACAGATAAGCAAACAAAGAAGAAGGCGAGTTTGTTCGCGTTTAGTCATTGCTCTATTTTCAGGAGGACTACTCTTGGCTAATCCAACCTGAGATCGAAAACATCCTCACAAGGAGGCAGTCCTGTCGGGACAAAACGAAAACTCCTCAACACGAAACGAAAGTTCGTGGAGATCACACAAGTAACATTTGTGATTCTTTCATTCTCTTGGTTGTTTCGTATGTCTCATTATGCTGAAGCGGAAGACCTGGAATTCGATAGAATTATACAGAATCTAGCTCGTTCAAAAGATACAATACGTGAAGTCCTGCTTTGAAAGGTTAGAGGTTTTAAAGAAGTATTATTAGATTCTCTTCTCAAATTTCTGATTTGCTTTCGAAAGGACACTAGTTGGCAGATAGGATATTCTCACTGAGGAAGTTAAACTTGGACTCTGATTTACACCATGAAACTATGGACCAGACTGTCGGCTTATTTCTGCCCGTCGGACAAATGGCTACGATCGCTAGGGCCGTCACTGGTGCCCTCAGGTTGTTTCTCGCCCCAGAAGATGAATGATGGACTAAATAAAGTTATGCATATGTTGATGGTGAGAATGTTAGTAGAGATGCAACTACTTATTTACAGACATGCTTAGAAGCCTGGATGCTGGGAAGAGATTAGTAGAACTCTCTCATAAGGGAAGACATAACCATTCAGTCCAAGTCTCACTTCTGTATTCTGCTTACGACAAGATGAGTATGGAGAGGCCTCCCCCTTGAGTATTCTGGTGTTTGGAATGTGGTTGTGTACCTCTGTCAATGAAGTTTTGCTACATATTTGTGTGCACCTGTGATCCCTTTACTCTGGATCTACTGTAATAGAATCATTGGGAACTGTGCAGATTACAGGGAAAAGTGGCTGTGATCACGGGAGCTGCAAGCGGAATTGGGGAAGAGACGGCGAAGACGTTTGTGGCACACGGTGCAAAAGTGATCATTGCCGACATTCAGGACGCTGCTGGAGAGAAGTTGGCACGCGAGCTCGGCGGACCTGACACAGCCCGCTTCATCCATTGCGATGTGAGCCAAGAGGAAGATGTTGCAGCGGCTGTGGATCTCAGCGTCAGTGCGTATGGAGGACTCCACGTTATGTTTAACAATGCTGGTGTGCTTGTGCCTGGCTGCCCGCTTGAGGAAACATCCATGGTGGAATTCGATCGTAGCTACGGCGTTCTCTTGAAAGGGGCAGTCATGGGAGTGAAACACGCCGCCAGAGTGATGAAACCGATGCAAACGGGCAGCATCATTACCACAGCGAGCGTGGCTGCGCACATCGCAGGCCCTAGTATGGCTTATACGACTTTGAAGCACGCATTGCTGGGACTGACTCGCTATGCAGCTTGGGAGCTCAGGGACTTCAATATCAGAGCGAACACCATTTCTCCTGGTGCGATCTGTACACCGATTATGAAGGATGTCCCTAAATTTTTTCTCGAGCAAATGCAGGCCTCGTCATTTTTCCCGAAGATGAAGACTAGTGTCTCGCACAAAATTGCAGGGCCTGACAGTATAGCGAACGCAGCTCTGTTTCTAGCCAGCGACGATTCTGCTTACGTGAGTGGCGAAGACTTGGCGGTAGATGGAAGTCATATGTTGCAACCTGGGGATCCATTGAGAGAAGCCTAAAAGTTGTCTGGCGGCAAGCAAATCTGCTCTCAACTAAACAGCCTTCTTACATGAATTGATACTTGTGGAGACAAGGTGCAGAACAAAAGGTAGCTTTTACTCATAGAATAGGTCAGATTGTACAAAGAGGCCAGCAAGGGGAGCACTAGCAATTGACAAGATCTATCAAGCAATAAACAGCTATCTACCGTGTCCCATGACTTAATCAAATGTCTGGGTAGAGTAGCTAGCTGCTGCACTGCTCATCTCCGAGATCAATGATATTAAATCCGACCCCTAGACTCATATTGATTTATTTGTAAATCAAGCTGAAAAAGTTGGAGGTGCACATCTTCCTAGATCACACCTTGATTCCAACACTTGGATCAAGTTATCCAACTCTATGTAAACAGTCCACATAAATATTGTCGGGAATCTTAGTGGCCCCTCAAATATAGTATACGTCCCACAGCAATGGTGTGGGAGCACATTGCAAGCTATCAACTACGCTACACCTGGATATGAAGCCAAAATCTTGCAAAACTAAAATCAAGCTTGACATAACACTCATGTCACGCAATGCATCGCCTCCCTCGCCAAATAGCAAAATGACCCCAAAATATATATTATTGCCTCGTGTCATTTTCCTTTTGATCAACTCTTCGAACAATGAAACAGCTGTCTTGCAAGGAATCACTTTAACTTTTCATGTTCACATATTTCTATTTAACACAGTTGTTTACAAAAGGAAATCACTCTTGGCGATTGTAGTTGACATTGAAACCCTTTAATAATGTTGTGTAGTCATAGATTAATAAAATTTTCTATTTTTTAAATTTTGGGCGTGATTTACTCCGCTAAAGAGCAGAACAGCTTAGCGGATGAGTTTGACTGATTTAGAGATTAGGTAGTGATCACCCGTTAAGCGATCAATACCTGATCGCTCAAAGGAAACTGTTGAGCTTACATTTTCCTTATTTTGTTGGAAATGAATAATTAGTCAACTCATATATCATCTAAATATAAACCTAAGTTGAGCTTATTTTTTTCTACGGTTGGTTTGTGAGTCACAAGCATTCGTTCTCATTTCAAGGTTGAAAGTTACTGCACAATTAGTTCATATGTATTAACGATGTTATGTGGTCTACTTGAGAAATTTGGGCATCTTGTGCTTTTCTTTTATGCTCATTCCAGAGAATAGGTGATTTGAGAGTACATAATGATCAATTTTTCAAAATATTTGAGAGCGAAAATAAAGAAACAAGTATTATTGTCAGTCCAAGCAAAATATGAATTAAAGAAGTGTGCACTAAAGAGTATATATTTCAGTTTCAATGTTCCATCTTTTTTCCAAGAAAAATTATGACGTCAAATCTTCCAATTTTTAGAGGAAAGAACATCTCAATAATATAGTTTATAAAAGTAAAGGGTAGAAGAAAAGCATAGTGTGGACTTGACTGAATCATACTTATCTTCACATACAACGACACTTACAAATTGAATGACAATTGAGCAAGAAGAAAGCCTAAAATTTGAGTTCAGCATGTAGATCTTTCATCAGACACACAAATCATCAATTTAGTAGCATGAAGGAGACGTTGAGTTATAAAGAGGGTGATTATAATGTTGCATTTTGATAGATGTAAGTGAGCAAGTTTAGTCAAACTAATTTTGATGGTCACTCAAGAGAATGTATTATAGAACAAGATATACATGTGGCATGTTATAAATTTCTTACTGGCATTTTGTTTGATTGAAAAGGAATGTAACACAAGAAATCATAACATCCTTATCTTAAACATGAGCATTCCATGAGGCTGTGACAAAGGAAATTCGAACACGAGAGTCTTCTTGGAAAAGATACTGAATGATGTGATGTTGGAAAATTATCACTACAGTTTTGAAAACTGTAGTGATACTTTCGGTTCTTGTGATTCTTGTGCTATGAAGGATATGAAAGTTAAATAATTTTCCAAGAGATCATCACAAGTTAGAGTAGTTGTTTTAGTGGATACATTCAGAAGTAAGTGTTATACTTATAAATAAAAATAGTTCGGATGGATGGGTTGATCTTCTTTTCATTGATAACAAAAATGAGAAAGATTTGCCTACTCTTTGAAGCGAAAATCATGAATTTTTGGATGAAATAAAAACTTTTATGTGCATGATAAAAACTGAAACATGAAAGAAAGTGAAGGATATGTATGTGTGTGTCTCCACATGAATTTAAATCCTATGTAGTCACACACCAGATGAATGACAAAATTTGAATTAACGGTCTAGTTCTACTTTGTCAAAAGGTTTTTAACATCTGAAGTTAACCCTTGTTTTTGTATCAAATACCTGTATTCTCTTTGAAAGTTTTATCGCTCTTTCCTCACTCTTTTTGATGATTTTTTTGGGGGGCTTTGATGACTTTTTGCTATCTTCAAACCTCACTTTCCTATCCATCTCAAATATTATCTCAATTTCTGGAAAAACATCTCCTGACAGTTATCCCAACCTGTCTTATAGTTCTACCGATTCCTTTTTGCACCGTCATATTTTTTTTATCCTTTTATCACTTGTTGCTGTTTTCAATCATCACTGAGCATTTATCATACCATTTCAAGCTTTTGTCAAAACATGTCTTGTCACCGTTTTATTTTGTATTCTCACCCTTATTTCCTTAGCATTTATTATGAGTCTTGATTCTTGTAATAACCCACTAAAGGCTAAAACTGCAATATAGTGGTAGAAAGGTCGAACCCACAGGGACAGAGGAACACACAGGGTACAAAGTGTCACGTTTATCAGACTATTGAGGAGTTTGAATTCTCAGGCAACTGTCACTCCCAAAAATACTGCAAGTGTTCACTCGGAGCTCACTCGGACGTCGCACAATGCAGCGTACAACACACACACACACCTGAAACTACAGAAACACAACCCAGAGATCGGCTAGGACCTCTACTTAAGATTTCAGGGAGAAAGTCTCTCGCGAGTACACTCAGGGAAGCTGCGGGTAATGACTCCCAACTCCGGCTTTTACAACCCTTCCACTAGCCTTCTGCTAGCGTGGGAAACCCGGATTGGTCTTCCTACTTCGGATCGAAGTCACTCACACGCGGTGAACAACACTCTCAACTCACAAAACGCGCAGAGAACACAGGTCCGCATGGAAGGACTCACTGAGAACGATCCAGTAGCACACCATAACAGTCTAGAGTTTGAATTCTTAGGCACTTGTCATTCCCAGAAATACTACAGGGGTTACCCCGAAGGCACCTGCTGCAGCGTAACCTGAATTTACAACCAAGGCTTACACGAAGTAGCAAAACTTCACTTTGGCATTCAGGGGAAAAATCCCGAAGGAGTACAATCAGAAACAATCACTAGAAGGTGTAAGGGGGAAACTGTTCAAGTATCTAACTCGTCACTGGCTCTTAGCATCGGCAATCACCCGCAGGTGTAGATCCGAACTACTCAAGTCTCTAACCAATGTACCAGCTCTGAACATTCGGCCGTAGGCCTTCAGCTACGCAATGCGGATCGCCAAGGTGTAGCTCCTTTTGCGTGGTGACAGATGTAAGAACACAAACACGCAGAGAAAATGAGTTCATGATCTGCACTTCCGAAACTGGGAAAAATCCCAAGGCAAGACGCCTTGAACTACTTTATACCTTCTAAGTCCTAACTAGCACTACACTGCACTATGCTACACGCCTGCACGGAACCACGCTACACTACACTCCGCAGAACCTGTGCTTCGCCTCCTGCGCGATGGACTGCCGCACTAACTCCCTACCCTGCCAGTCCTCAGCTCGATTGCGCAGTCCCAACCGCCGCAACACCACGGAAACCTCCGTCTCAAGGGTGGTCATGGTGTCCCGTGTGCTCAACAAAAAAGAGTCTAGCTTCTTCGCCACTCGCCGCCGACTCCGACTGTCACTTGTCAACAACCCGGCTGCACGAAGCTCTAACTCGCGCAGTGTGAGTTTCTCCTGCGCCGCCACTTCCCAGTGGGCGTAGCCCCTGAGACAGTGGGTGACTCGCCTCGCCATCTCTTCCTTCGTGCGATCTGCCGCCCGCCGGCGATTGTCTTCAACTACAACCAACTGCAATTCGGCCTCCGCACGCTGTGCTCTCAAAACTCTGCACTCGGACTGCAGTCTGCGGATTAATTCCTCATCCGCCTGTCGTGCGAGCTGACACTGCTCTAACAACCGTGTCTGTCGCACGAGCTCCTCTGACAAAATTTGATTCTAAGCCTGCTCAGAATCCAGCGCCTTTGTGAGCTTCGCCTTCTCCTTGGCGAACTCTTCCAGCTTCTCGTCCTTCGTCTTGTCGAAGTGTTTGTACAACTTCCTATTGAGGTTGTACTAACCCCACAGGCACTCATGCTTCTCCTGCAGATCCTTAAGTTCCTGGTCCACACATGCCAGCAACTTGATGGTGTGGACTTTAGTGCGAGTTCGCCTACGCACTAACTCGACGTAAGACCCAGGCTGGCGAGTGTCCGCATACTTCTTTATCTTGCGATCCAGGTACCTTAGCAGAGGTACTACCTGCTCACAGAGCGCAGCCGTCGGCGCGCCTACCATTTCCTCCTCCTCCTCCTCGGTGGATCCCGATCCCGACACTGATTCCGTGGATCCTCCTTCTTCGTCATCCTCCGAATTGAAGATTTCGGTCGCCATTGAATTCGTCGGCGATTGGCCTTTGCGGGGCTACGAGATTTCGGCGTGCTCTGCCGCCGCTGGCGCTCCTGCAGCCTCGCTGCTCCCTGCTAAAATGTCCAAGGCGGTGGGTGAATGCGGCCGTGCCAAATTCGCATCGTCCGCCTTTCCCTATCCCGCCGCGACCTTAACCCCCTCGCCGCCGGCGTCTACCGCCGAAGGCGATCGTGCGGAATGTACCTGCGCGGAGTGTAATTGTGCATCGCGCGCACTAATTTCACCCTGCGGACAGTCAACCCGCTCCTCCGTTAGGTCCTGCGCTAGGGATGCGTCCGGCCTATGCGTAGGCGCAATTCCCGGCGCTTCTTCCGCCGAGGGCGCAGCGCCAAAGGCGTCTACCGCCGAAGGCGGTTGAGCCGAAGGCGGCCCGCCCGTTGTCCCTTGGCCCAAAGGCCCTTCCGCCGAAGGCGCGGCTCCCGCCGGCTCTCTGTTTGTAGCTTGTTGGCCCGAGGGCCCTGGTGCCGAAGGCGCATATCCCGGCGATCTCGCCGCCGGAGGGCCTTGCCCCGAAGGCCCTTGAACCGAAGGCGGATCTTCCGCTGGCTCCTTCCCCTTCCTACGTTGCACCGGGGGTGAGTCCTGCCCATGCGTAGGCACTCGCCTATGCGTAGCCGAACTTTCTCTGCCCATGCGTAGGCACAAGTCTACGTCCGCAAGGGGTCGTCTATCCACAAGGAGTCGCCTATGCGTAGGCGGCACACTCATCCGCGCCGCACGTTGTAGCTCCTGAACCGAAGGTCGTCTCTC